GGACGCCATCGTACCCATGCATAACAGGGGTATGCGGTAGCTGCGTTTTATGGCTAATCCGTATGCTAGTTTGTTATCATAAATCAATCATTCTATTACAATCCCATTTAGCGCTAAGTGTTTACCTTAGACTCAAAAGACAGATCCAGTTTTTCCTATATAGAATCACAGATGCAGAAATCTGACACCAACAGGTGTTCAGCATGTTAGTGCCACTAAATTATTATTCTTTATCTGTATTGTTTGCATTATTTTATACTGTTTAAACCTCAGTAAAAATATCGTTATTCCTAAAATAGCCTATTGTTTATATAGTTTCATTCGGTACCCTTAGCACTAACAATACAGTCGAATTGTTAACGATAAAAAAAAATTTGTATGAAAATATTGAGCAGCCGTATAAACTAAAAATGGAACTATGAGCACTATACACTTTAAAATAGTATTCATGTATTATTTGTTCGTACCATATCTTCTGATGGTGATATATGGGGAAAGGGTGGATCCAGAGACATACTTATACATTGGAGCATACGGGCCTATATGGGGTTAAAGTAATTTTTATTTTATACACTTATAAAATAATAATACTCTGATTCGTTGTTATGGTTTCTTAAATTATATTTCAATAAGAAAATCTCTTGTGACGCAAACGCTAAATCCACCCTTGTACCTCGGCCTTCAGATGATGTTAAATACAAGCAACCCTGAATAGGCAAACAGGAAAAATATGATCATTATTTTTCTTTCGTATATTTTGTACTTCTAAAAACTCCTGAAGTTCTTATCAAAAGTAGGACTTTTTCAAACTGGCCATTAATAGGCTAATTGAAATATTTTCATGAAGAATATTATAGATTTTAAGGTTAAAGATATTTATTTCTCAATAAAAAATATTACAACATTCATTTGTCACGTGACATACTATTAGGTCCTTACATATGAAATTGGCGTATTTCGTACTGGCCACTTTAATCACGATGTTCTCCTCTTTGGTAAGGAATTCCAAATTCAAATTTGTACAGCTATTTACTCATGTATTTGTCCTTCGATGACCGTCATTCAATTGTTTTCTTCTTCTGTTTTTTTCTGTTTGCGTCACTCATTTTACAAAATGGAAAACTTAAAGTATCGCATTATTTACGAGTACGAGTTCCGCCGTGCCACTAGTGCTGCGGAAACGATTCGAAGGGTGAATGATGTGTATGGCGGTCATGTTGCAAAAGAAAACACAGTTCGTTTTTGGTTCCAACGTTTTCGTTCTGGAAATTTCGACCTGCAGAACAAGCCCCGTGGACGGCCTGAGACCCAAGTTGATAATGAAGTATTGAAGGCTATTGTGGAAGCGGATCCATCGCAAACCACGTCCGAGTTAGCTGCAGGCTGCGGTGTTAGTGATAAAACTGTTTTAATTCACTTGAAGCAAATTGGGAAGATTAAAAACCTTGAAAGATGGGTACCTCACGAATTGACTGAAGCAAACCGGCAAACGCGCGTCGACCACTGCGTTACATTACTGAACCGGCACAATAATGAGGGTATTTTAAACCGAATCATTACCTGTGATGAAAAATGGATTCTTTACGATAATCTGAAGCGCTCAGAGCAATGGTTGGATCCTGGCCAGCCAGCCAAATCCTGCCCCAAGCGAAATATAACCCCAAAAAAGTTACTTGTAAGCGTTTGGTGGACTAGTGCCGGTATGGTTCATTGCAGTTTTCTCAAATCTGGCCAGACTATTACGGCTGATGTCTATTGTCAGCAATTGCAAACCATGACGGAAAAGCTAGCGGCTAAACAACCTAGGCTGGTCAATCGCTCCACGCCACTGCTACTTCACGACACCGCTAGACCACACACTGCACAACAGACGGCTACCAAATTAGAAGAGCTTCAATTGGAATGTCTAAGACATCCTCCGTACTCCCCGGACCTTGCTCCAACAGATTACCGTTTTTTTCGAAATTTGGACAACTTCTTGCAAGGGAAAACATTTAACTCTGATGGGGCAGTCCAAATCGCCTTCACAGCTTTTATTGATTCCCGTCCGACTGTTTTTTTTAGTAAAGGGATCAATGAACTACCTATGAGATGGCAAAACAGCATAGAAAACAATGGTTCATACTTTGATTAATTAAATAAATCTATTATATTTAAAAATATTCGACTTTTTGTTCCTCCCATACAAAACGCCAATTTCATATGTAAGGACCTAATATTTTCGTGCGCTAAAACAAAATATATGAACAATTATGATTTCTTATGATTTATGATTTCTGTCACAAACCCTTCTGTCATTAATAAAGTTTTTATTATGATTAAATTTCATTACGACATATTTTTAGGGTAGATAAAGCTGAACTGGGACTGCCATATGTATTTATTATTTATGTTTGTCCTTTAATCTCGTCTTAAATAACGTATTAACCAATAACTAAAAGTATTTTACAAGTTAGGTCTGTATTCCGTTTGCAAATAACAATTCCGTCCAACATTAGCATAACAAGACCGCGAATTTGTTACGACATTTTACGCTTTATTTGTATTCAGTGTTTTTGTTAGTACTTTAGTTTATTTCCTTAAAACTCAGCTCACAGTGATATAATATAAATGGGCGTAAAGTGTTTACAAAATAGAATTACTATTAATTATTTTATTTACGCATTATAACACGAAGGTTGTGTGTTGTCTCGGCTGCTGTACAGATTGATTTGTCTTTCTATAAAAACACTTTCTGCACCAATTAAAGGCTAAACCAACGAATTTCTAATACAATTAATAAAGTGACGCGAGATTGGTGAAAACATTCAGTAGCTATGAGTATGTTTATTAAACCGGTAACATATATGTTAAATGAAACTGGCGTCATTCTATTAAGTTTAATTATTTTTTTTCCTACAATAAAGTTCACAAAAAAAGAGTGTGACTTTACATGAATTACAATCTAGCCTATACAATAATAATGGCTATTAAATAATATGTTGATTTAGTCTTCTACAATACTAATGAATGCCTTAAACTAAGGTAATGTTCATTAACAGTCCTAGTGTTCTATAATGTTTTAACACTATGTTCGTGTGTCCGAGATACCGCACTTGCACTTATATTCACTACACTAGGTTTACGCAAAAGGTTTAGTTCTCTTTCGGCTCTTATTCCTTATTGTGTCAATATATTAAATAAAGCAATAAAGTGACATTACAACGATGTATTCATATCTGACATAACAAGTAACTGTTTACAATATTGATATGTTACAAATTGTGCCTTAATATCCCCCGAGAGCCTACAACTTTGTGAATTTTCTGACCCTTTGCATAATAAATGGTGTAAGTTTTGCGACATTTTCATACAACAGACGTATTTTTAGGTCACTTCCTTGAATAGAAATCTTGAGAGGAATTACTTTTTAATGAAATATCGGTCAACTGTGACAAGATTTTAATTATCTCTCAGATTCATCTTCAACTATTATGCTGTAGAATTATGTAACTTCTTAGAACTTAACTTGGTAACCAAATTATAATAATTCAAAAATGTATAGATATTAGATAGAGATTATTTATTCTTAATTTACACGACATTTTTTTCACGAAAAATTGTGGACTTGTGAACATGGACTCACATGTTTTAAGGGAAAATTATCAAAGAACAAATTATCTATCGTTTTTGTTCCTTAGAATTATTGTTTACCCGTTTCAGTTAAAAATAACACTCCTTTATCAGTAACACAAAAGTTTCATCTAAACTGTTAATTATTATCCAAAAAATATTTCAAACGGTTTTCGAATGATTTTTACTTTTATGAAAAAGCTGGATATTTTTCCTGTTACCGTCTATATCCGGACTGTTATTAAAAACTGGTCCAATAAACTTTATAGCATATATATTTTATAATATAAATAAAAAGTAAATATTTCCTAGAATATTTATATTTTATTTAGTTCAATGTCTAATTGCTGTTGTATGTTTGACAAGTCTTGGGTAACAACTCGAAATATGAATCGTTTTGCTAAGAAGCCCCTGACTTTATACACAACCGGCGTTATACTATTGGGTATATACACACATATTATTGTCGGAGCAGTGTTGGCCTAGTGGCTTCGCGTGCGACTCTCATACCAGAGGTCGTAGGTTCGATCCCCGGCTGTGCACCAATGGACTTTCTTTCTATGTGCGCATTTAACATTTGCTTAAACGGTGAAGGAAAACATAGCGAGGAAACCGACATGTCTTAGACCCAAAAAGTCGATGGCGTGTGACAGGCACTGAAGGCTGATCACCTACTTGCCTATTATAAAAAAGTAATTTAAACTTTTTTTAATATTTCTGTATAAGATTAATAATATAGTATATATAAGTCGTAAAGTGTAATATGTTATATAATCATGACAAATTTTGGTTGGTAGCTTATTAGATTTCTAAAATATGTGTATTATGTAGAACTCGAATTGAAATATTAGATAGTTTGTCTTGGGATAGTTTATTAAACTACTCGAAATTATTACGTATATAATCTGACATTAAGTTTTCCTTTATTCGCCCTGAGGGCAGGCTGTGGTATTTCGACCGTACCGCACAGTCTTACATATTTCATTATAATTTCTCCAGATCTATTGATTCCTTGTGCCATCAATTTCTATTGCCACTAACTTTTTAAATCACAATTGATGTATATATTTCCGACATATTCATCTTTTTGCATAATCAATATTTAAATAATTATAGGATGCCATAATGTGATATATAAAATAAAGCAGTATTATTCGTAAATACGTTCAGCCAAACAATAAAATATATATTTTTTGTATTTACAACGGCTTTAGCCAGTAACATTTACAGTAATGTACGTACTGTACATTTTAAATGTAATTGAAAAAGTAGTAATCATTCTTCGAATGAGATCATCGCGGTTCTTTTAGTTTGTCCTCGGCTTACCTTTATCAAAGCTTTTTTCCCTTTGACGCGGTCAATGGATCCTCATATTGGTTTCATTTCAAATGGCTTTGAAACTAAAGCAATTGTCTCAAGTAATGGCGATCGTTTTATGCTCTGTGGGCTTTTTTTAAGAGGACTTTGATCTTTTTGACTAAATATGTTTTAAAAATATTTTGTAAAAAATATAATGCCACTATAATTTGTTTAATAAAGGCAAGTGTGATCGCTTTACAACGTTTATATTAGTGATATTATATATTATGTATTTATATAAAAAATAAATCAGTGACACCTTTTTAGGCTAATTTAGCCTTTCCCTCCAAATGACCGCGAAACTGAATGTCTTTCTATATTATGTCAACGCCATGTATTCCGATGCTGGCTTTGGCACCAGTACTTAAAATGAGAAAAAAATGAAAGGAAAAAAGCAAACGTAAAATTTATAAAATACGAATGACAATATGACCTTCGTTATGAATATTTATCTACCTTCAGTAGTATTTCATTAATGTTTTACAGAAAATTGTTTAAAATAATGATAGTGCTGACCCATATTCAATATGTAGGTTTTCGGAAGCCATACGCTATACATCGCCGATACTTTTATTGCATTAAATGCAATCCTAGATTAATGTATTTTATACAGGCAGCACTGGCCTTGTTTCTATAATATTATTAGGCCAGAGATGTGCTATATTTAACCACTTTTCTTTGGTTGTAATTTTTCGAACACAGGATTTTTGATTCATTATTGTTTACAGATTCTTTTTGATTGAAATATTCTCTTGTAATTATTAAAAATGTAAGCTGTAATGTATACTATAAAATAACTATTTATATTTTTAATGATTTCTAACGGGTTTTTTGGCGCCATACATAAAAATGTACAAACATGTATGAATTAAACGCCTATTATGGGGAAAAATAAAAAATAAAAGTACTTAGCCACAGCTGACGCACGGTTCTGCTACGGCAATAACAAGCTTAATAATAAATTATAGAACATAGTAACTACAACAATATATGTGTTTCGTAATCTTATACCGCCTATAGCTTAGTGACTTAAGCATTCTCAACTATGCGGTCGTGCGTTCGAATCAAAACCTTGCACCAATAGATTTTTCTTGCTATGTTGGACACATTAACACTTGCTTCTACGATGAAAACAGGTATCGTGAAGAAGGCTACTTGTCTATAAAGCATAAAAAAGATTAAAGAAACGGGTTAAATAGATGATTGTTTTTTAAATCTTACAACGCACAAGTTTAAAATTTTGTCTGTGACCGTGCGTTACTTTCACATTATGGTAAAAAAATTAAAGAAAAGAGGTGATAATCCTTGAGGCGAGAGGTCTTTGTATATCATAGTGTAAACTACGAGTATATGTTTTCGTATGATAGAATAACTCAATAATTAAATGCTTTGTATGACGGTATCATCACCTTAAATTAAATGATACAGTTTACACTAGACTCATAAATGCGTTTTATGGACTAGGCTCTAGGCAAAAGTACTTCCAAACAAGATGGCTTGCTATCGTCTGTCTTATCTACACAGACACGGTCACGTTACTGACCGGACGGCTCAAATGTTTCAATAAATCTTTACGTGAATAGTTACATTATCTATGCAATGATTCAATGCTTTTCAACAATATACTAATTCAATGCTTTTCATCAATAAAATGTCATTAAAGTGTTTAGGATCCTATACTTAGCAATTCAGTTGAATAAAGTTACAGTCTTAGTGCTTTAGTGTATTGAGTTTCAAACGAAATAAAGTAGAAACAGGACACGTGTTAAAGTTAGTCATAAAACTCAGGCTAAACCTAATTAGTCCAGGTCACGTAGCCACCCCCGCTGTACCTAAGAAGATTTAAACCCGGCGTGTTGCGGTTTTATTATTGGATTATTTAATAACGTAACAATGTCAAACAAATTGTCTTATTGCTATGGGAGAACTTTTTAGGAATTTCAACTTTATTGGGATTTATTAAATTAATTTTTCACTTAACAATACAAATTTTATAACATAAATAGTATTTTTTGTAACGAGCATATACATAAGAATATAAGGTTAATTAACTTGGGCTTGGTCTTGCGTCTGCGCAATTCGTGGTTTCATTTCAAATTTACATATTTTTGATGATAGAGGAACTACTAAATATATAATAAAATTACCAAAACGTATAAAAAAAATAAAACCGCTATAATCCTTGGTCTTTTTTGATTTCGGTATCTGTTTCGTGATCTTTTGTTTTTTCTAATAGCAAATAGGTGATCAGCATTCTGTGTCGGACACACCAACGATTTTTGGGTCTAAGGCACACGATACTTTTTTACCGAATGAATGTTAAATGCGAGCATATTGATTAAAAAATTAATAAAGCTTATAAAAATTTCGAAAGAGAAATTCTTATTACCAAATAATAAAACGTAATACCACTCAAAGAAATATGTCTTTTAGTTTTATTCTCTATACATAGTTTATTTCACATCTAGCACAATGAATTAATAATATTTTTACTTGATTGTATTTCATCAAACTTTAACTATATCTTGTCGAATATACTCTTATTTTCGCTGAATCAATATATCACAAAGTCTTAAAACCTATCATAATCAGAATTTTCCAAGAACAATTTCTAATCGAATCTCGTGTTTTCAGACGTCAACCACACTCGTGCTGCTGATACACTTATCTCTTCACACCGTTGATGAAGGCTTCGCTATTAATCCCAGTAAGTATCTATAATAACAAAAGAAATAATAATGGCGCCATTTTGAGGCCACTATTTTCGCGATAAGTATTTTAAAATAAGCTGTTAACATGCCAAATTACTTCAATACACAGTATGACAGCGATTACGACGTTTTTGTATTATGATATAGTTCTTTCAATATGTTTGCACCTATTATCGAGACCATACATAGGTTCAACTTTGTATAACTTGTTTCTTTTCTTATGTGAGGCCTTGATGGTAAGGATATAAATTCAATTAACTCAGTGTCGTTTTGGTGTATATATACTTTCTAGATCTTGGTATGGATTCGGAAATATATTAATTCGTAACAATAGCGAGAGAATTTCGATATAGTGAAAGAACTATATCGAAATATGAATAGCGTTGATGTCGTCTTGGTACCTTGGGATTGCGTGGTACAAGACCTCAACACTGAAGTAGGGACCGCAAAGTACTCCTTAAGCTCATGTCTATTGTCTAATCAATCAATGAATATAGTTTATTTCTATATTTACACAGGCTCGTAGTGTGAAACAAATTGTAAACCATCTCATAAATAAATATAAACGATGTGTGTCTATGGATAACACAGTCGCCTTTTGCGTATTGTAAACGTTGATAAACTTTGATATTGTGATCGCAAACAAACCGGCAATTAAAAGTTAAGAGCACCTTTATTTAATTCTATAAAAAACAATTAACAGAATATCAATGAGAGGAAATTAATTAGAAAAGGAAGCCGAATTGTATTAAGAAATAATTTTGAGCTATAAGCGTCTCAATTTGCAAAACTAATTATGAATTTTACCTTGTTTACGAAATATTGGTATTCTCGCAAGTCAGTCCGTTCTAAGAGTCCCAGGCATACAACCGACAGTTTTGTCAATGAATGCTTCTTTTGTTTTTTTAGCCTACGAGATTTGACTTTTTCTAGGAAAAAATGTCAAATCACTAAAATATTTTAACACTGCATTAATTTGTATAATTGAAATAATTTAATTTTCTTCTTAAAAATGTTTAAGTCAGTCCGTTCTAAGAGTGCCAGGCATACAACCGACGTCCATGAATGCTTCTTTTGTTTTTTTAAGCCTTTGACTTTTTCTAGGAAAAAATGTCAAATGACTAAAATATTTTATTTTTATTATATAATTTTCTTCTTAACTAAGCTTATTGGATTAACGTACGTAAAAACGTTGTATTTTGCCTGACTTCTTATTTGTTACGTATGTACTTCGAAAAATTGGTTCCTGAATAATGGATTAATGTTGAGAAATTGAACGCGGGATATCAAATGAAGAAGTTTACTTATAAGGTATAATCTTGTTATTTTTTGAATATCGACGAATAAGGTTTTAAGGCGTTCTTTTGTTTTTTTACCTTAGGCTTAGTGGCATTTAGTAAAAGCTGTATAATTTCGTTTCCGGCTTTCTTGTATTTTTGGATGATCAACTACTTGCTACATGCAAGTACACATACACATAAATATGTCTGACCCATACCCCATTGAGTAGAACTTTTATACCTAATAAGTAATATTTCAATTTTTAAACATCGGTGGTAAATATAACATACTATAAATATTAATTACTTGAAGAATGTTAAGTACAGTTTATTTGTTTTTAAAGTGACCCGAGATTGATGAAGACAATAATGTAATAGTCATTTATCATAATAACAATACATAATTTATACAGTATTGTATATGTTTAAGGAATTTCCTGTTTAAGGGCAGGCAAAGGAAAACATGTATGAGGAAATTGCTATAAGCTTTTGTTTTTTAAACCTATTGAATACAAAGGAACATATCATCTTTATTTCATTGTATCGCATATCTTCGGCATTGAATATATTCTTCGTCAAAAGCTGAATACATTTGATCCGAAATCGGAGGGATCATTTATATTCTTGTTATATTTACTAAAGATGGCAATATATACATATTTTACGATCCTAGTGTATGTGTATGTAACTTAGAAATCGTTTGGTATGTTTGGCTTTCTGCTATCCATTTTTGTCCATAATAGACTTAAAACTGGATTAATTTGTATAAGTATAGAATTAACTATATGAAATATCTCTAGGTATATATATAAAATTCTCGTGTTACAATGTTCGTTCCCATACTCCTGCGAAACGGTTAACCGATTCTTTTAAAAAATTTTTGCATATTCAGTAAGTCTGAGAATCGGCTACTATCTATACTTCAAACCCTTAAGTGATACCTATATTTAGATATTAGATTTCTAAACTAGAATAATATATAATATTAGAGGTATGTAGGTATTCTGTTTCAAGTGCACACCACATTAAAGAATTGGGTTGGCGCCTGGTAGATAGTACCGGTGACCACAGAGCTGGTAGAAAAGCTGTCAGCGTTTTTTTTAACTTTTTATTATTACTATGTAGGTTCAGAACATTGTAAATAATATTTGATTATTAAGTTTACGTTTTAATAAAAGTCAACATAGATCTAAATTTTTCAAAGTAACGAAAGCTTCATAACCAAAGCTATTAAAAGTGAAAAAATACGGTTTTTATCGTGCACTAGGTCATGAACATCATAAAATCCGCTCAACTAAGTTAATAAACCCGATGCAATCTCACTAAAAGCGCGTATTTAAAACAAGATATTTGCGAAGATACAAATAAGGGTAAAGTATTTCTGCCTAATACTAACATATTACTACCAATAAATATTGTAATACCTAGGAAGGTTTAGGTATATAATTCGTTATGGTTTTATATTATTATATAAATTGCCTGAAATATTACGTTGCAAAAATTCTTGCCAAAATACACAAAATGTATGCGAACTAGTCGGAAATATATTAGCTATACGGGAAACAATTCATTCACAATCATTTTTTAATTATTTGTAATCTTAGATTTATTCCTTATGAAGTTTGTACAAAGCGTGTTTTCGATATCTAATATTCAAAGTTACTCTTCAGATTCTCTTAAGTTTTAATTGTCAGATGTCGATCTTATTTCGTATATTTAGGGCATTAATACTTAATGTTTCTAATTATGATTTGTTTATTTTTCGAGATTTATTGAGATTTTGTTTATGTCTCTGCCCCGGTATCGTGATATAATAATTTATTTGAAGTCAGTGTATGGGGCACAGGGCAAACATGTTTCTACGTCTTTCTGTTTTATCGATTTTTTTAAGATACATACTCATATATAACTTCTTTAAATAATTCAATTAAACTTGACTTAGTTGAAATAAGTATATACCATAAAGTGATATGGCCAATACTTATCACATATGTCTCTTACTACTTGTTTAAAATTATTCAGCGTTTTTTTTAGTTTCCTGTGTCCTTATTATAAAACATGGACTAAAATTAGTACCTTGTTAGCTACTATGGTTACTCACAGTAACTAACAAGTTGTTACTTACTATGTTTTTATGGAAAATTAATCGTCAAGATACATGCGTAATTATAATAATGTACTGAAAGAGTAGTTCTGCAAGCAGTGAAGTGCAAGGTGGTGCGTAGGAAAACACTACTAGACAAAACACCAGAGGGACAAAATTATAAGTTTTTTATGGAATTTGACTTATATTCATTATATTAAGTATTGATCAAATTATTTAAAGACAAGGGTGAGAATCCAAAAGACTTATTAACATTTCGGTCAAGACGAGTGTGTTCAAATTTCGAAAACTTGACACCTCGACACGATCGGAATGTGTTGCCGATCTGACGTAATAACATGGAATCTTTAACATTCTCTGCCAAGTGTTTACCTGTCGGTAAAAACGTATAACATCTTTTTAATACGGACTCGGGACTGCTTTATCGACGTAAAATCATGTTTAAACAAGATGCATCCAGATTTCTTAGTCTAAGTACATAACCAAATTGCACTTTGGAGTTTAGACAATCGTGGTCCGTCATGTTTACTGCAGATGCGACTCGGTACCGAGATTCGTGCTTAGAACTTTCGAAATTACGACTTTGCTGCTTCTAATGCATTTGAGACGAGAATCTGAAACTACTGGAAAGTAGTCGTAAAACTTATCGAGCTACTGGTTTTATAATAAATTGAAGGTAGTCTTACGAACAAGCTTTATTATGAAGGGTAATTTTGAGCTAAAGCAGAACGGTGGACCTCAAGTTTTGTAATCCTCTTAAAGGTGAATGTGCCCATAAAATGTATTATTAAAATAAACAAACTTTAACAAATACAAACCAAAAGTCGTAAAAAGTTAATAACAATTTGAAATTGAAGGTTGTATTTGAATTCACAAAGAACATTCAATAGACATAATAATATTCTGTGCTCAATGCAAGATCATATATAATATTCTATGCATTGAGATTAACTCTGTGATTATCTGTATCTGTAAGAGTTATTTCATCTCTTGACATAATATTTGTAGATAAATATCACTTTTGTGGTCGTTTCAAGATTAATCTATATGAAAAAATTTACTGTAAAAATTGTACCTTGTACATTATTAAATAGATTTAAACGTTAAAAGGCCGGCAACGCACTTGCGAGCCCTCTGGCATTGAGAGTGTCCATGGGCGGCGGTATAACTTAACATCAGGTGAGCCTCCTGCCCGTTTGCCCCCTGTTCTATAAAAAAAAAGTGTACGTTTGAATCGAAGACTGTTAATTTGTTTAAATTATTGGTCACCTAATAAATTATTGATATACACGATCGCATATTTACCTTTTTAAAAATTAAAAAAGTGTCAACTAAAATATGATGTGCCTAGTTAGAGGCAGAATAAGTACTGCGAAGAGTGTTTTGAAGAGTTGTTTGGGTTGAGCCCTCCTGCCTCGTTTTAACACCGTACGAGCCGTATTAATTCAAAATTTCATCCCGATCACCCTGACGGCTGAAAGTCTTCTACGGTCCGCTTCACAAGACATTTTCCTTTGCGAACTGTGGAATCGACACCCGACTTTTCCCTGCGAGATTCGACCTCCCATTGTTTAACAAAAGAATATACTCCTCAAAGGCCGGCAAGGCACCCACTAAAATGTGTGTCCATGGGCTGTAATGACTGCCCTTTTTGAGCGTTCCATGAGCTTGTTTGCCCCTCTATCCTATAAAAAGAAAAGTCGAACTACTGACTGGATATACTTGAAATATAACAATTAAAAATATTTCGGTGTTTGTTGCGGGTATGCACATATATGCGATTTTTGTTATAATAGTTGCAACGGTGGGGCGCCGTGCATCGTAACTTTCAGCAACGTCAAATCATATTAGAACTTTTCACAAGATCAGATTTATCGAGCTTTTTTGTTAAAGAATTAATGAATGTATTTTTGAACTTTTAAAAGCTTCTTAAATAACATACAATTTATCAAAAATAAAATAAAGTTTACATATTATTTTGTATTTTAACACTTCAGTAGTCGCATAAGTATATAACATGTTTAATGTAAAAAATAGAGATTACTTCACTATTACTGATTACTAACTGAACATCATCTCTTATTAATTTTTTTCATTCAGGTTGTTCCTGTATCCGGTTCACATCGGGCGGCGAAGGTGCACCTCGTGGAACTTTCAGCAGTCCAGATTACCCGCGAGCGTACCCACGCTCCCTCTGCTTGCTCTACACTTTTCTTGCTCAGCCTCATCAGATCGTTGAGATCGTGTTCACGGACTTTGACATTCACAAGGAACATCTAGAGTAAGTTACAATCTAGGGTAGCGGGGGCTAGTTGTATTTTTTTTGTTTATTGGCGACGGAAGCTTCCTTTGCATTTATAAAATGAAGCAGTTCTATTTCGGTGAGCTGCTATTTAACTTTGAATTTCAAATACAATTTTGAGCGCACCTGAATAAATCGATTCGAGAAGTCGAATACTTGTAAATATGGTTTAGATAAAAGTGAATGAATACTTACTCCGTGATGGGTGCTTATTGTGATAGCCAAGTTGTAATTGCTGGAATTGAAAACTAGTTTTTTCTTTGTTTATAATTTCTGTAGCTTAGACAGAAACTTTTAAGACTGTCTAAAGTTTCTATCTAAGCTAAATAAATTATTTTTTTTGAGTCATTTTTTCTAAGGATTCCTTTATAATGTTTGCGTCTGAATGATGAATTTTCGAGTAAAGAGAAGGGCATTTTTTTGCTTTGATGGTTGGAATCCTGATTAAATAATTTAGAAATGAAATAAATTATTTTCCTTCATTAACTCCAATACAAATTGGAGGCCCACTTCTTACAAAAATATCTTATACCTTGGATTCACAAATATGAGTGGAATGGAATTTTCTGAGGTAATAATGGCATATCCAAGAATTACCCTGATGTAGCTTCAAGCGACTTCAGAGACAGTCTTCTTCCCATAAAGTGTTTGAACTTATCAGGTCCAGCTGATTTATTTTCATGCTGTGACTGTGTGTGTGATTTTTGGAATGCCATCTTCCTGACTTCCAAAGGAAGTAAAGTTGGAATATATTCAGATATTTTGGCTTCTTTTCTGCGGCTTGCAACAGAAGCCAATTAGTACAACATTTTGGCTTTAGGAAGTACGTTTAATTTTTCTTTCATAGTGAAGCTTTATGATATTGTAGTAAAAGAGTATAAGAGTATAAGAGTAGAAGAAAAAAAGTATCAAAAACATGAAAAGAAGAAAAGGCAGGCAACGCACTTGCGAGCCTTCTGGTAATGTGAGTTTGCAAGGGCGGCGGTATCACTTAACATCAGATAAGCCTCCTGCCCGTTTGCCTCCTATTAAATAAAAAAAAAGGGTGCGTGTACTTATGTACGCGCGTAAGAAGTTATACTTCTTTGGCATTATTAAAAATAGTTTGGCTTTGTTCCACCTCCAGTTTTTGATGTTTCACGGCGATAAGATGACAACTCTTTTTTTGTATTCAATTTAGTGCACTTACACTGATTCATCAATAGTTTTTTGTCTCTTGTCCTTATATTTGCTAGAGAAAAATTACATGTTTTGATTAAACAATGTGGTAATTTTTTTAATCAAAACATTACTCGATAATAATAATACATACGGATAGTTAACCTCAATTGTATTGAAGCACTTAGGAAGGTTGATGAGCACAGTTTTTTTCACAAATATTAATTAGTATTGGTTTAAATATTCAATTTAAATCACTTCTGATTATAATTCAAAAAGCATTGCTAAATTTCTTTGAAAAAATAATTAAAACTCCTTTATTTGTTTAAAAGGTAAATGACAAATGTCATTATGGTCATTCAAAATTCTTGGCATACGAACTTCACGCATATTCTATTTCTTTTTACTTGTAGATTGTCTTATTCCTATCTCGCTCGCGCACGCTATAATCACACTCCTAATTTTGTGTCACAGGTGCGCGCGCATTATAAAATTTCACTCTCATAAATTTTTCATAACGCGCCTAAAGAAGTATAACTTCAAAAACCTTTTATAGGTTAAAACTTGAGATAGTACCTACTGACAAACAAAGAACGTATGAAAGAAATTCAAATATTTGTAAACGAACATGTCCCAATCTGATAAATTGTCACACTTATATAAAGTATTCAGCTTCAGAGCCCCAACTATAGAGGTAAACATCAAAAAAGTCCTAGAATCAAATCTCATTTACCAGGCTCGAAAAGGATGAAAAAGTGCCGTGATCTCTGCAATTCTCAATAATAGAGGTTTCTCATTTAATTAATCAATCAGAATCACACTCTTTTTAATCGCTAAGTTTTTTGTTTTACCCAATGTTTGTAAGGAATACACCATGTTCCACATGATACCTTAAATAATGATTAGTTAATTAATAATAATAAAATAAATGAATAACAAAGATTTGTTCTCTATCAGCAGTAGGCATGGTGAAATAGGAGCACGCACTTAAATTCTCGTGGGAACAACACGCAAATACATAGTCAAAATAGTCGAAATCCCACTTAACCTTAAAATTAGATTTCACTGTATTTATATTGTGTATTGAGGTGTGGAAAACGCTTCAAATATATGATAATGTTTATGACCTCGTAAATCCATCTGTTTGATGTGCTTTAATATGATAAAGTATAGCGGGCGTGTTCAAATATCGAAGTTGTGTTTACCAAGATTTATTGCCGACATACCTTTTAATCAGGTGTATGTTATGAGTGTTTCTCACTAAACACAATATATTCTTTCAACTTCAATATTATATTTCCTGCTCCCTTCACTCGCGTTAATTTGGTCGTAGCATATTATATGTATAGCGTATTCAATACATGGTCTATGCAACACCAGAAACTGTTCAATTTTGAACCAGAAGTTCCTTAGGATTTAGGATTAGCGCGTTCAACCAAATATACAAACTCTTTAGACTAATAATTTATTAAGTTATTCATAAAGGTAATAAATAATAGATTTAAATCATGTGACAATAATTTAAAAATCCAAATAAATTTAATAGAATTAAACTTAAAAAGTAAATCGAAATTCCATCAAGTGCCGCGAAACTAGATAACCAAACAAATCATATTCCTAACATCTGTTGTAATATCTGCCAATTTCCAAGGAATCTGGCAATTGACATGTAACACGAGTATCACTCTCAAAGTAGCACTAAAATCTACATAATGCACCAATTTACAATTTTGCTACACATTTGTAGCAATAAGGAAACTCCTCCATTCGTAGCGTCGCTTTAATTGTGACTATATTAACAAGCGTCAAAAAGCAAATTAGGTGAAGAAAATACAGTTTTTGAACAGAATAAATACTATAAAAATTAAAGCAACATTTAGAAATAATTCAACCAAATTTTAGAATATGAACAAAAGCATAGAAAAGGAGAAAGTAGGAGTCGGCACTTAGATATTGGCTCTGAATGTTATTTAACTTATGTGTAAAAGAGACACCTGTATTATGCCGGCCATACACACTACGGTCTACCGGAGAGGTAATCTGTGCAGGTATGCCTGCGCAGGTCAACCGAACAATGGTAGCGTGTATGGGGACGTTCCGGTGTATCGGAGCGGTCTTCAGTTCTCTTTGCGATGGCATCGAATGTGGACGATGACACGTTAGCGTTACTTTAATTTTGAAGAAAAATAATACGAAAAACAAGCGAAGAAAGTGGTGTAAGCATTGGTTATTGAAAAGGAAAACATATAGTCATGTTAATTTATTAAATGAATTGAAATTGGAACCAGAAGATTTTAAAAACTATCTTTGAATGGACGAGAAAACATACCTTAAATTACTTGAAATGGTTACTCCTATAATAAAAAAATATGACACAGTTATGAGAAATAGTATTTCTGCGCACAAAAGATTATCAGTTACATTGAGATTTCTCGCAACTGGCAGAAGTTATGAGGACCTAAAATTTTCAACAATTATTTCGCCTCAGGCACTTGGAAAAATTATTCCTAAAACATGTGAGGCTTTGTATGAAGTACTTAGAAGAGATTAAATAACAAATCAAACTTAAAACAAAAGTAATAAATTAGATACATTGCCGATTACTATCTTAACAACCTGCGCAGGCGACCGGAGTACACGCACACACGCACAGGTACACCGTACGGTGTCACTCGAAAGAATCGATTTTCGATCTTGCGCCGGTCGCCTGCGCAGGTTCAAAAACCTGCACAGGTCTATTCCCACACACATTCCGGTCTACCTGCGCAGGCATACCTGCACAGGTGGACCTCTCCGGTAGACCGTAGTGTGTATGGCAGGCATTACACTCATGCCCTATTTATATTAGAGACAGCTGACGCTGCGATGTTGCCGTGCCGTTCAAAGATTTAATACTAAGGCGTTTTGTTTTAGCATGATTGATTTGGTTTTGGCAAATTAAGAATTAAATTTACTTTTATATTTGCGTGTTTTAAATGTTTTGTAGCAATGGCCTGTTAAAAAAAAAGATCGCATTTTCTCCAAACATTGTATATTGTATACGTAGAAGAGATTCACGTAATCTATTCACTGCGGTTTTATCAGTTACATACCTTCGTAATGTGTTACATGTGTTGAATAACGCAAGTATTAATTGTATTTATTAATTATTTATCTATTTTAACCTTATATTCTACCATACAGCAACTTAACCCTAATTCGATAGAAAACAGAAACAAAACCTATTTATAACAAATAATGGTAATGTATATTGTGTAATGTCAGTGTTAATGAATATGTCCGTACCGTAAAATTACTAAGCGCAATGCACGCGTAATCTCTAAGTTAGTTAGTGCGCACCCGCGGCACAGCCAGAAATAGTTGCCATTTCCAATTCTTAGTGTAAATGTTTAACAGTGTTGGCCTTGTTTGGCGTGAGCTTTCTGTGTGCTAACACTCGCTTGTACGGTGAAAACATCGTGAGGAAACCGGCATGTCTTATACACAAAACGTCGACTTCTTGTGGCACAGGAGGGTGATCACCTAATTAATTTTTTTTCACAAAACAGATATACTAATCTGTGGCCTATATCTAAAAGAATCTAGCTTCCCTTTTTGTGAGGTTATTAACTCGGTATAGAGATTAACGTAGCTGTATTCTATCCAAATTAGTAACAGAACAAATTTTCTTTGTCTTCTAATATCGATAATCCTATATAGTGTTGCCACTATCTCTTTGTTATATATAAAGTACAGAGCCTTCTTCGCTCCAAATTGCAGTGGACTGGATCCTTTAAGCCATCGTTCAAGGGCGACGATTTCGGGCGTAATAAACTTTATTCGACA